TGCACACGCTCTTTGAAGCTCTGCCAAAAGAAGCTATATAATTCCCTCATATCCTTGCCTGTACTGCCTTTGCTGGTCATTTACATAAAACTTGGACACACCATCTTTATACGGTGCATGTCAGGATATGAATTGGTCTCAGATGATATTGTTCCTTTTCTTGCGACAAAGTAGGAATGAATAATTCATATTTATGCACGAATTCAGGCTTTCAGATTGTCATTTGAAATGTTCCTTAATGTTGTTGTAGGCGTAAGCATTTTGTTCTATACTTTAGACACGTGCATTACTCTGGTAATGTGAAGAGACATAACTGCATTATATCATTTTAGATAGCGTTTCTACAAAATGCTCTGTACAATTTGAAGCAGTCTGCAGGTGGTGATATCTCCAGAGTATGAGTCAACACCGCAAGCCGAGACAAGTTGCAAATTACGTGTGTTTCTTGCTTATTATTTCGTCTTGAGATATTGTTGCCTTTTATCTTACATTGCGTCAAATATATTGTGTTTGAAATAGCCTGAGCAAAGTTGTAAACAAAATGGTAGAGTTATATACGAGAAATTGTTACTTCTCTGTGTCAAGTGAATAAATGTTGTAAGTACGGATGTGGGTGTAAATTAGTGTATTTGACTCACAGGAATATTACAGGAATTGTACGAGGTACTTTAAAGGAAATTGCTGTCTTGGAGGTAGGCAGAAGTAATATGATCCTGAATAAATATGCGTAATGAGAAGTTTCATTATTTGTACATTGTATCAAAATTTATTGGAATAATACTAATCTATGAGGGCTGTTGGAAAATTTATGCAGCACTCACGAGACATGAGAAATACATATATTTTAGTCGGAAAATCTGGAGAAAGGAGACTTCTTATCACAATTAAATGTAGATTTTAAATAATATAAATCATCAATAAAATCTTCTCGGGCAATCAGCCGCGTTAACTGGTTACCGTAATAAAACGACGTTTCGGGAACAAACTCTGTCCCCATCAGAACCCTGAAGATGGGGACAGAGTTTATTCTCGAAACGTCGGTTTACCAGTTAACGCGGCTGATTGCCCGAGAAGATTTTATTGATTGTACTCGCCGCAAAAGTCTCAAATCCTATAACATAAATCATAACAAATACGTAAGTGTATGGACTAGATATATTTATTTCAGGATAACGACCAGTGACAGGATGTTGAGAAAACGGTAATGTACATAAAGGTTCCATTAAATTTCAGAGATTTTTTAACTATTCGAACGACTATCTGCTTCTAAAAAAGGATTCCGCTGCATAGACGCAGTTGTATTTCTCTCTAACACGTGTTCCCTTTATGTAAATGAAGTCCATATGAGGCGTTGTATTATAGAACTTATTATAAAACCTTTTAAATTAATAACAAATAAAATATATTTTTCTAATTAATTCTTAGAGTGTAAATTCGATTACTTGTTGCTAAGAATATTTTGCATAGATTTGAACGTAATTGACTCTAAAATATCATACGATTTATAAGTTATAGTATAATTTTGGTGCACTTGCTCGCGTATCGTCTTTTGATTTTCAGTTCGTGAATGAGAAACTCTGTTAAAAACTAATAATATCAAACTTGTTGTCCTAGGATCTTTAGTTCACTAGAGTAAAGCTAACCGGCATACCTTCAGCCAGAATTGTAAAAGGCGTGAGTGATTATACAGTCTCCAGTAATACTGATAGTAATAATTTATCTTAACGTCCTAATTCGATACCTATAGGAGCAAATTACACAGCACAAGGAAATGAAATAAATGCCAAAAAGGCAGAAAATAATAAAGGAACAAGTGAAAAGAAAGCTAAATTAAATGCAAATTTAATCAATTTGAAAAATATTCAGATTAAGGACAAGTAGAAAGTTTTCTTATGTGCCTTTCAGGCAGACGAATATCAATACTGACCGTGTTGAAATGTTATCTGATTTTGCTCTTGAAAACATCAACATAAATTGAGGCATGGAGACGCATCAAACTAAAACAATAATTAAATTTAATTATTTTATTTTAACTTTGGAAACAACAGCCACAGGAACCAGAAACAACACAACAACACAAATAATAACAATATTAAAGTGGGAACAAACACATACCCCTATAGGAACATTATTTAATATTTATGTATGCATGGCTTATCGTGGTTGATAACGTCTCAAGCAACAGTTCATTAACTTGATAGGAACAGAATCAGTAGGCCTAAATGTTTCAGTCACAGTATCCCCCGTTTTAGCCAGAATATCAATTCTAGATCCTAGGTTAAAAAGTTAAGTAATTTCGAATTTACAGACCTAGTATCTTAGTATCTACGTGTGTTAATAAAGCAGTTGCTGCTCTGTTCCGTCATGAATGTTTTAGACGTGGGTTTATTCTATGGTGGACTACGAATTGTAAAATAAAACCGTACATAACAATGGAATATGTAAAGTTCTGTGGAGCATGTAAATAAGTTACATCGTGGGTGGGAAAATTATAGTAGTCTACCTCTCATTCTGTTTTTCAAACAGAAAAAAGCATTGTTTAATATTTTATTTTTATAAATATGGTTAATGTGATAAGACTCCAAATTATTATTTAATATTGCATTATATCTTATTAATTATTTGCTCATGTAAAATATATTTGTAACTATTCCTGTACATATATATATATATATATATATATAATTCTTATGTGCCAGATAGAGTAGCATGTTCACAAACTTTACTGTTCTGGTACTGCATTTCAATGTGTGTGGCCCCACAGAAATGTGAAAGTAGGATGTGATGGGTTTTACTGAGTAGGAACTGAAGGTTGTTTGTATGGCGGAGAGCGATGCACTTCCTTCCCGTCGACTCATGGCTCATCGACCGTCCAGGTTTACGAAAACGAAATGGCGGCGGCTTCGTGAAGCGATCAGCATTCCAAGTAGGCAATACTATAGCTCAAACATCTTCTCATCTACGGGTGTATTTTTTTAAAAATGTTATAACCAGCTTCTGTGTTACTTCATGTCAATGTATCTTATTATATTATAATATTTTAAAATGCGGAGATGTTATTAAAACTGTTTTACAGGATTTCGGTGTTGTTTGAAATTTTAATAATTTTACATTTTGGGTAATGCAAGTTTTAATAAATATCTCTTTTAGGTATTCACGTGTCCTGTTGTACGGAATGATACCTCTAATGGAAGTAGCAAACATTTAGCTACAAAGTATTTCGAATTAATGTAAGATGATTATTTACCTTTTCAAAGAGACCGACTACGCCAGGAATCTTGAGTCTGGATTGAAAAATAAAAATCCAGAGTTATGCAGTAAGAGTCGTATGAAAACTTCCAATGTTTTATAAAAGTTACCTCCTTTCACAGACGTAATGTAACATAAAAACACTTTTTGTAAAAGAATACCATTCGAAAATGAAAATACAAACCAACTTGAATGTCTACATATTTTAATTGTTCCAAGCGTGCTAACATTCATATGTTAATAAAGTCTACAATGTATTCTTTTGTGAACTTGTTTGTAAATAACATACACAATATTTTAATGTACAGATGAAGGCCAGCTGTCATTTACTCCTAAGTAATAGAACTTAAAACCCCGTAATTGTTGATTTTAATAACTAAGGAATTTATGATACATCAGTCACCATTTTTGTGAACAGATGCTATTAATGAAAAGAATTATTTTGCATCGTCTTCTAAACTCAAAACTGTTTCAGTTAGTATGATGCATTGAAGGTGCTTGGGTTTGTGGTATTCTGAAATGGATCTAACCGTAGCATCTCTAATGCGTAAGTGAGCGGTAAACCAGTAAACATTTCTACACATTTATTACTTTACGTGTCAGTGTATTTTTGGGAATTGTAGTTGTCCTCTCAGTTGACTGGCGGAAACGGTGGGCTAATTAAGTTTATCAATTGGTGGGGACTTTAAGTGTCACGATCGAGTAAAACCAGTTTGATTTTGAAGATTTCTGTCTTCTCCA